GGTTATAAAAACTATAAGCAGTATAGAGGCAGCGGACACACTGAGTAATACATGATATACATTTATTTCTAATTTTATATGCTTCATTAACTTGTTAATTCAGTGTGAAACCCAGTGAACCAAATAACCAGACACCGGTACCCCTCCAGGTGTCTGTCTGACTGTGTAAAATGTTCTGTATGAGAAGGGGCTAGCACAGCTATGTGTGGCAGCCTAGTTAACTAGCACCATATAGAGAGGTGAGCATGCTTGATCTCACCTTAAAGTGAAGATCTCCTAATGAGAGAGTGGTAATGAGCTAGAAAAAGAATTACTCTCATTTCTCTTTAAAAAAAAGTGTTGAAAGCATGAAAGTATGCTGTCTTTTCCTTCCGTCTCATGTGGTGGTGCCAAGTGGAAAGTGTCCATCTTTCACCGGGAGATTTTTATGTTCACCTTGGCTCATGGTAACGTCCCTGGGGATCCTCTTTCTTGGCATGGTCACAGTGGTCACCATTTGCGAGAGATGGGCTGCTGAGGTCAAAACCATTTGAGAAGGACATAAAACCTCTAAAATAATTTTTGATCACACTATGAAACCATCCCATTGTGGTCAAATAATATTCTTTAGGCCAGTAACGCATCACTGTGGAGGTTATTGTTAGAAAAGTAATTTTAGCCGGTGTATATTCTGGACATCAATGCAGCCAGCTGGTGAATGCTAGAGCTTTAGTTTGTCTGCTAATTTTTCATGCTAGCAATTAGCTAGCTGATGGTATTAACCACCTTTCATTGCCTGATCCAGCGCCACGGGTGATAATTTAGTTATCAAACCATGCTAAGACCCTACAATTCAGGTCGCAGCGTTCCAAGTGAGAGATATATGCGAATCTAACATCTCGTGACCCTCGGTTTTATGATGGAGTAAGTAAGGGGGGAAACTGCCAGGACCTTCTCCTCATGAAGACCCAGAGCAAGGGCACTGTCTCCCCAGCCCCATAGATCAGCCAGCCCTGAATGTCAAACTGCACAGCAGCCACTACAGTGCCAGGAGTCCCTCTCTCACTCCCTCTCTGGCCCATGATCTGCTGTCTGGTGACACCACTGTGCTAATGACCTGGTTTGGGATTTGCACCATGGGGCTCCTTGGCTTACGAAGATGGAAGTTGTGGATATCCAGCTGGAAGGTCACCGTTGACGACGTCCACTCACTCCACATTTCCTCTATTCCGTTGACATCCTTCAGTTTTCAAGGAGGTTGACACAGTGCGGCTGTCACCGTTTCTTTGTATATATTTTTTTCAATATAATACACAGTTTCTCAAATTATGAAACAATAATGTCGTTTCCACAGAGTTATTGAAATGCACTATTTATTTATTTATTTATTTTGGTAGTGGGGGACACAATGTTTATGTGAACTGCATGCATATGATGTTTTTGGTTGTTTTTTTTGCTCCAGAGTTTAATTGCTTGACAATTTGGATAACAGTAAAGTTGGAAAGCAGCACTCACGCCTTGCTTGCCAACTCTGAAGCCTTGTGATTGTTAGCTCTCCATGTAGTTTTTGTTCTTTTTTTTAATCAGTTTACTGTGAGAAAAAAAATGCCTCATTGCTTGGAGAGGGCAATGTTTTCAGTCACTCGCTATCTTCACTTTTTTTTCAGCCTCAGGAGTTTGGCTTGTTGGAGCAGAGTGTAAAGTCCCTGGGGAGGAGCTCCTCTGGTGTTGGGGGCACTGCCTCGACCTCACTCATGCCTGGTGTGGGTGGCATCCAACAAGGGAGACACACAATGGAGAGCATGACTTGAAGATGGTGATGCTTCTGGTGGGCTCTCTCAGGACTCAGCCTTATTCTCAGGGTCATGCATTCCAGCAATCTCTGTAATTATAAGCAAGTGAGAAAAAAGTCGAGTCTTCTGCCTTTCTCAAAATGAACGTGCCCCACTCCTCAAGGGAAACATTCACATCTCTGAGTTCTAGTAGCTGGACGGGTTTTAATGAGGCAAGTCAAGTGTGTGTGTGTGAGTGTGTGAGTGTGTGATTGTGCGTGGTTGGTGTACATGTACGTCTGTGTATCTGCCCTCTTCTAACGAGCGTAATTGACCGACTATGCTTTTAAGCCGCCGTTTTTCACCATTTGTGAGAATATTCTACTAAATAGCCTTCAGTGATTATTACTTCTACGGGAGACACTTCATTGGGATTAAAACTTTCTCTGAGTTTTAAACTTCAGTTACTACTTTTTTTTCCTCCCTTTTTTGACAGTGTACTGTTAGAGCCAAATGGACAGAGGTTGAAGAGGCCACAGGTCAAAAGGAACTGCTGAAGAATCCCACCACCCGAGGACCATGAATTCCACTGGGGAACATTTCACCCTGCTGAGAGGCAGAGTGAAATCTGTGATGCAGCAGCACACGCTCGCTCGCTGTGGTGCCTCGATGTCTAGCTAAAATCTACGGGAGATGGGGGGGGAAAAAATCTCTGCACAACTGCTCAGTTTTACTACAAATACCGTGGCAAAAAAAAATAAAAATGGAAAAAAAGACTGTGCTTTTGTGCATTTGATAGCATTTCAAAGACTTCTAGTCCACATAATGACTTTTGGAAGCACAACACAATATTGGGGATTGATGTTTATGCAAATGGCTTCATGTGAAGCTACAATGCAGGCCTATAAAACAAAAGAAAATAGTTGAATATTGAAGGCACGTGCAGGTACATGCATGACCTTATGCGCTGAATAGAAATTTCCTGGCTTGCGTTGTTTTCATTGCAAACATGTCATCTTTTCTGTATAACTTTGTTTGATTCCCCTTTCCATTCTCCTCAGAGATGAGACTTGAAACAAAAAACAAAAACAAAAAAACCATTTGTGATGATCTTCATTGTGCCTATTTGCTCCCAAAATTTCCACATGGTTCTCCTTTCCTTATTTATAAGGGTATCCCTAAGAGGGAAGCCATGTCAGACACGTTTTTTGTTTTTTTTTGGAGCTTCTTGAGCAACATTCCTCACATGAGGTTTCTTCTACTTGAAGAAAAAAAACAACTTCTGAGGAAAAGTGTACTGTAACTTAGAGACTTAACAGTGCAAGCTCTGAGTCAAGCCTTGCTTTGTCACTAATGAAAGTAGCAAAGAGCCCTCGAGGACTGAAGAGCACTGTTTGTTTGTGTTTGTGAGAGGAGGTGTGTATGTGGGGGGGAGGAGGCAAGGTGGTAAAACTTTGGGAGAGCCGCCTGACAGAGCGCTGAGACACCGGGGGGGGGGGGACTTTGGAGCATTGTTAAGATTGAAGTTTTAAGGCAGCTGAGACCTCCTGACAGATTCCAAGCACCTACAAATAGATGTTTTATATGAGTGTGTTTACCAACTTTACTGTAGTTTGTGAGGGCTTTGAATTTACCAAAGCACCTCGTGTCAATCTGTGTCATACTACCTTTTATTGATCTTCTTCGAGCATTTTATGGCACCATGTGGGTGGGGAGATTATTCCAAAAGCAAAAGGTGTGGACTGCGATTACAAACCGGGGAAAGCTTTGACATCACATATACATCGAAAGCCATATCTTAGAATATTTTAGCCTTGCATTTACTACTGATTGAGGAGAAACGAAGGAAAACAACAAGGCCTCTTTAAAACACGAGCATAATAATGGCTGTCAGTTAATAGCTACGTCTTCTCCCTTATAGGTCTAAATTTTCTATTACTTGTGCATTACTTCTCACTAGATGATTACCTTAAATGCCTGTAACAGTATTGCCTCATTATGAACTCCAACGAGAAACTGGGTATGCCCTATAGAATAAGAGCAGCATTATTATACAACCACATCATTAACTTTTATAGTTATAGCTGACTTTATAGTGAATTTTCTTTAACAACATTACATTTGGCCACACTAAAGGCTATCAAAGGTTGCTGTTAATTTTCTTCTTCTACACCAGCCCGTATTCAGGAGTATATCCAGACTGACTGTTTCTCTCATTCCCTTTAGGATTGCAGTTGAAAAAAAAAAACAAACCTTTGGTTTCCTCTTATATTTGGCTCTGTGGATCAGTCCAAATAAGAATGCACTGAAAGTGGTGGAAAGCAGTTGCGTGACTGTGATTTTTAGATGGGGCCCCTGGCAGAGGCAGCCTCCAGCCTGCAGAGGGGAAGAGTGCAGAGTGAGAAGCCCACTGCAGGGCTCCTCTCTGGATCTCATTTTCACGTAGCAGGGGTAGGTTTGGGGCATGGACCTCCACATGCAGGTGAGGGTGTATTCCAGTGCACCGCTGTGAACATCTTGATAAGAAGGGAAAGGAAAAAAGAAAGAAAGAAAGAAAGGAAAAAAGCCATTTCAAACATCATTAAATTAAGACACACTAAAGTGATGATTAAAGAAATGATAAAACAAGAGAAATCACGGAATATTAATATTATAGTGGGTTGTTTTCATTCTATGTAGCCTCTTATTTGAAATGGAAGAAAACAATGTATTTCTCATGAATAACACTGAAATGATTAGGGGATAGGCTGCAATAGTTCTAGTCCGTAGTACGTTAAAAATCCCTCAATCTTAAAGTACACTCGATATCCCAATTCCACGCGTGCCGTTACATGTCATATATGTCAACAGCAAAAGAGAAAATGTCTTTCTGCTTAACCATTTCTACCAGAAGGGGGACCAGTCCGTCTGCCGTAGACGGAGAGTGGCCGACGGCGAGCTGAGGCAGAGGAGACGCCAGGGTGAGCAAGCCGACTTTGGGTTTAGAGTTCGACTCCGGATCCGGGGACAAGCAGATCCAGCAATCCGCATCTTGCCATGATCCCTAGGATTTTAATCATGCCTCTCTGTCTGTGTGTGAGTGCAGGCAGGCTGACAATGATTTCCTCAGTGATTACGTACAGAGCGAGTCCCTGCGGGGTAGGGGCCCCCTCTGGAGCCATCCTGATGGCTTTGGGGGCCTTGCTTCCATTTTCCATTATTATGTGGACTACCGGAGCGACAGCGCAGTCCAAGACCTTGCAGGTTTGTGATGAGGAGGGAGCTTCCATCTTCTCTCTGCTTCTTCATCCTCTTTTTAAGAGCAATTTAGACGTAGACTTAGATCAGATTCCGAACCTAATTCATGATTAGCTGACTGGAGTGAGAAAAGGAAGAGTCTGCAATAGTTTTGATGCTGTTAGGTGGATATGAAGTGAAAAGTGTTATTGTCATTTTTTTCTCCTCTTTTTTTTTGGGTTTTGTTGCATTTTTGCACACTCACGGGAGGCGTTTTGCTGATGTCTTTCTCACGCGGATGCATTTGAGATGAGAAGCGAAAAGCAAATATTGCGCTTTTGTTTCTAAACGAACATCATGCCTACACGCGTGTGTGTTTTCCCGGAGAATGGACGCGCATGACGGGATTACTATATTCTCACACTTTTCCCGATACCTAGCTCAACTAAATAAAGTCGCCTATAGCGATCGGGCTAATTGGATTTTATAACATCCACCTACTCATCACAAAATAACAGCAAACTCGTGTACAGACGGCGCGGCCGGGGCTAAGTTGCATCTTTATGTAATGGTAAAAAGGCAGCCGCGGTTTTGGTCAGTCAATTTTAGAGAGACTATACCTTTAGACTATCCCGTCCTACACAAATTGTCAGGCAGAAACTGAGCAACTTCAGCGTTTTCTATAGGATGTCGCGCCGCAAGCAAGCTAAACCAAGATCACTGAAAGGTAAGTGATAAGCCTGTTTGGTGGCTCTCAAAACATTTTGCTTTTTAAGGACATGACACAAAATGTGGACGAGCATGAACTGAATGCTCGTGAAATGTAACTGTCTCTCCCCCCACCCCTTTCTTTCTTTCTTCCTTTCTTTTTTACGCATTTCGAAGTGTTCCTTCCTATTTGTGTTGCGCATGAAATCGACTGTTTACGTACTTGGCATCGGAGGGGGATAAATAATAATACTAATAATACTAATAATAATAAAAAATTAAAAACATGCTCGGCTTTCGGTTCTCACTGTATACTGATGAGAGTTAAAGAAGGGGCAGGGATACGTTTAAAGAGCAACAGTGCAGCGCGACGCTGGCGAACATCTGGATGCGTTAAAGACGCTCCTGGTCGGAACTTGAGCCGTCTGATGGAATGGGGTGCACAGTCACGTGACTCACCCCGTCTGAAAACTCAAAGAGGAAACATTTTATACGTTGGGGAGGGGGGGCTGTGATGTGCGTGCTCGCAAGTGTGTGGTGAGGTGCAAATACTACCCAACGTTTAATACTAATGAGACATTTAATTAAGAAAAAGAAAAAGTTCTGGATTTATCAGTCAGGTTGCTTAAAGCTTGAAAACAGCTGAATTTCATCGGTAACGTCTATGATGTTATTTGGGTTGTTTTTTTCTTACTCCCCTTTTTGGTCACTTTTTCCCTTTTTCTTCTTTAAACAGTTGGTTTGGTGGTAATCTGATCTACCATTTGCCACAGAGTGTACATGTCTGTGAGAGTTTCAGAAAGGGGGAGGGAGAGGGAAATAGAGACAGAAAGGGAGAGCAACATACACACACACATACACACATATTCACACATTACTTTTCTCTGTAGCATTTTAGTGGGGGGAGCTGTAGGTTTTTGGAGGTTGAGCTCCAGTTCATCTGGCAGGCATTGTATTTTGCTCAGCAAATAATTGTCCACAATTTCACATTCCCAGCTTGTGGTCTGTGGACCCCTTTCTCTCTCCCCCCCTTTTCGTTCTCGGAAGTCTTCATCTCAAAGGAAGATTACATGGTCTGTGGTACATTCATGCAGCCACCATTTTAAATCAATACCCAGGAGAGAGTGGAAATGTGAGTGCATGCACATCTTAAAATTGTCACATTCTGTTTCCAGACCTGCACTGCTCTATTCGCGGTAAACAGCTCCATACATAGATTTCATATTTTCTCAGAGCAGATTGGCATTGGCATTATTTTTTTTCTTGTTTAGTTGGTGTGACATTTGCTATTCTCAAAAGACATATCACATATAATCGTCTCCTGCCAGCATGCCTACATGCTACAAGTGTGTGTGTGTGTGTGTGTGTGTGTGTGTGTGTGTGTGTGTGTGTGTG